CAGTATGAAATGTTTATGTTTGGTTTACCTTTCTGTTGTTTCAAGCAGCTTGTGGACAATAACTTCAAAATAATCTGATAAGCAGTATGTCTGTGGTTCAGCTCCTTCATTAGGAACTTCTGCTGCATCATAGGCTGCTTCTGCTAAACTGTTGAAAGCCTTATATGGATGGAACATATTATTTATAGAAATGAATAAGCAACTCAATGACAATACTACAACTCAAGATAAACTTTAGTATTTTTGTCTTCATGGATAACTGCACAAAGAATTACTCAGGCTAAAGCCTAATTACTTGAAAATTTTGGCTTGTATGACTACAAGTATTCTACCAAAATAGAAAACATTGGTAGAAACTGCTATTTAATTTTATGTTACCAACAAACACATAAACTACTCATTATAATAAAGATATTATTAAGGCAAAGTCAAATTTTATAACTTTCAATCTTCTTTATTTACGGAGATATAAACTAGAAAGTCAGACTCACTTGTCATGTCCACCTCTCACATTCTCTCTTTAACAAATTACCAATAATTTTCTAAGACCATTTATAAACAATAGAAATACAATGTTTTAATTTATCAAATGAGGTATTATATTATGTTGTTTTCAGTACAGTGTATTGTCTATTTCATTTTCACTTTAAAAATTGCTCTCATGGTATTCAGATTGAGAATATAACGGAATTAATTTAAGGCTTCTATGGGATAGTTAAAAAGCCAGATAATTATAATAGTTATAAAAAATTGTTTGTTTTGTGCATGGTATTATTCTGAATTTTTAGGTGCATTATTTAAGTAAATAAATATTATTTAATGTACTAGTACCATCAGTATAAAAAAAGTAGGCTTAGCTTTCAACAGAGACTTTCAGCAAAAAAACATGAGGGAAATGTAAGTATTGTATTTCTTGTTTCTCATGTATATTCTTTATTGTTATAAAAATAACTAAAATGTAAAAATTAGAAATTAATTAAATTAGATAAGGATAGATTAGGCAAGCTAATGCATAATGATAATAATAAAAATTCATCATTAGGTATGTTCCCAAGCAGTTAGTGCATTACGTCACTCAATATGGTAACATGAGTTGCATGTTCACCGAGTGAGTTGCAACTTGTATGAAAATATTATTCGTTAAACACAGTTCAAAAGACAATAAAACAAAAAAATAATTAAGTATAAAAAGATGTAGTTTTCCATTACAATTTGCAGTCATTCCAGAAAAAAAAAAAAAAAAGAAGGTAAATTTAGATATATTTCATATTATTTTATGGTAGTTACAAGGTCAGTCAAATTGACCAAGTGCAAATGGAGTTAGGGTAGAAAAAATAATAGATAAAATAAAAAGTTTAAATTAAAAAAAACAAAACAATAGGTATTTATTTAGGAGATTTTAGAAGTTACACAAATGAAATTTGAAAATTTTCAGAGGAAGAAAAGTATTTTTAACATCTGCCACATGAGTCAGCCTGGAATATAGATGTGAATTCCCCCAAAAATGAGTCATTCTTAAAAGGTTTGGGTTGACTTTATTAGACAAAATGAAGACGTTGGCACTGTGTTCGAGGTATAGTTCACTGGACCAGACCCATGACTGGACTTATGACTTGACCCGAGATCATGAGAACGAACACAACCACATTTAGAACATTTCAAACATGTTTATTAAATTACTGCATGTTTTTTTTACTTTATATTTGCAAAACTAACTTCTTCATGAATGTGATGGCTTAACTCCTTTCTTACGGGCACTTTTCTACGGATGTCACAGGATTTTACTTAGTTACATTTAAAATTTACACTATAGTTCAAAGTTTTATATTATCTAAGTTTAATTCCTTTACTTAAAAAAAAACCTTAAAGAAAAATTATTAAGGTTTTGTCTCTTGTGCTCTGCAAATTCACAAAATGTTATATTTGAGTCTGTGTAGTTTGAACAGTTCTTGATTCATGCTAGCCTTCCGTATATAGAAAAAAATTCAATATATAGAAAGGTTAATTGCTCTGTTTACACACTATTCTTTCACATTCCTTAGGGTACGTTCGAAGAAAGGAGAAATAAATTTCTCTGAATTTTGGACAGATGCCACACCCACCTTCTATATATAAGAGCTGTGATTTCTCAGCCAATTATATTTAGTTGAACTAGATGTTTATAACTAATTACAAGAGTGCTTTTTGAAGAACAGTCTCTTAACTGTTATTATAAAATTGGTATAAAGATTTATATAGAAAACTAGCAAACCACTCTTAGCACTGTTGCTGCTTTGTCCCCGCCACTTTAGTGTTATTTGCCACCTAGTTGCATTGTATTTAAGTTTTTGCTTTATATTTTACTTAATTACGTGTTCTTGATGTTTTAAAATGTATATTTTAAAAGCTTAATATTTTTTTTTATATAAGCCAATGCATCCTCCATTTACAAGGGATAGTGTAATACGCAAATGCCACCACGTTCTGCAGAGGCCTAAGGTTTCTCTGCCCACTATACAATAATATGGACCAGGACGCTCATTGACATGTGTTGCGATAAATAACAGATGGGTCACTGGTGAAAGGCTATGTCATCTCGTTTGTTGACACACATTCAAAA